CTAAATGAGGTATCCTACATTAATTAAATGCTCACCATATATACAGTATCTTAGATTCCCCAACCGTACGTACTGTACACTATTGTTTGTTATTTTAATGTATTACCCTGTATGTATACTTTCTCGTGAGCACGAGATACGTTTCTTTTTTCTTTTTTCTCCATGTCCCTTTAGGGGCTCCGTAAAAACTCTATATTTTGATGAGATTATTATATTATTATATTTTTCTAAAATAATTTTTCAAAACGTTTTGTTTTGATGAGAAACATGCAGAAAAGGTAAAATGTTGGATTTCTTTCCCAAAGATTTTCAACATCTGACCAAAATCTTTTTTTCTAAAAATCTTTTCAAAATGCTATATTTTGATAAGAAACATGCTGAAAGGATAAAAATTTCGAGTTCTTAAAATGCTTTAATTTGATGGAAATGAATCAAACATATTACACAACATCAGGAAACCATGTGCTTTTATTATCAGTGCATATAAGAGAAGGAAAATAGTCTGCATTGTGTGACACAAATCAAAATGCTTTACACATCTCAAAAAAAATTGTTGAGCCTCTGACCCTAATAGAGATCAGTGGGCTTTTGTTTGGCAACAGGTCAAACAATGAAGATGATGCACTGAAAACAGCAGCTTCCTGACTGACGTCACTATCAAGAGCACACAGTGATGACAATCTGAGGATCAGAAATTCAACACAGCCAGGAAGTTGTCCTTTTCCTTGCACCTGTCTCATCTGCTCTGGCATGGCACCAGGAACCTTTAGGACAATACAATACATAATGAACGCCAGGGGGAGCATCAACGGCGCTGCTGAGAAAGATCCTGTTCTGTTACTACAGTGAAAAACAGCCTTTCGTTGAAACAAACTGAGAACAGACAGTGAAGGGAAACAAAGGTATGTTTGCTGGCAGATGTTATCAGTTAAATTATGATGTAAAAAGTGTTTTGTAAAAAGATAAAAACAAACAAGAATGGTGAAACAGAATCCATTATTAATCTCAGTTATTTTCCAGCCTGAAATGCTCAGAATATACCTGCAGGGGGAAATGGGAATTTTCCTGAGATGATTTTGTCGTTATTTTCAATGTTGAGGGCAAATTCTATAATACTGTCCATCTCTGGCCACCAGGAATCTGACAAATTACATTTGCACAACATTAAGATTGCAAAAAAATTCCAGATGTTTTGTGTGATTAGGAATTCTAAATTCTGCCAGATGGAATTTTGCTTTGAGGGAAATTGTTTCATAACCTTGTTAAGAAAGAAAGAAAGAAAGAACAGAAAGCACTTTAGTTTAGAAAAATAATCTATAAATGCTGACCAGTAGGTATAAAATAAAATAAATTAGCATTTTAAAAAATGTTGTCTTCCCTTTCAAAAAGAAATATTAACAAAAATGAATTGTGCTGCTTACATTGTCATTAAATATGAGTCATTTCTTCTTTGTAGCATGTGCTGGGTATGTTTTTAAAAAGCTCTTTGTTATAAACAGCTGCCAGACACACATTTAAAATCCTGCAGTCCTCCGCGGCTGCTCCTCTGAATGGCCAAATGGCTGTTTGAGAATCGAAGCACATACATACTGAACAATCTAATATACACAATATACATTCATGTATATACAGTACATACAGCAAATCAATGCACAGACGGTGGTGACAAATGTTTTACATTTTTCTGCTAAAAAAAGCGTACTGCTGTTGGTTTCACTGTAAGCATTAAATAGTTGATGAGAGAAGCGTCTGATGGGTACACTGTGTCCCGCCTAGCAATCAATATAAATGAAGAATTCATGCATCTGGATGAGTTATGGCTCATTCAATACTTCATTCTTTCTCCTACCCAGACCAGACTCACGGCACAAATCTGGTGTGATGACACCATCGGCAGGTGTCAGCGCGTCTTCTCTAAACAAGTCCACCTTTGCATGTCCATCACTTGTCCTAAAGACACTACATCACCCATCGTTGAGTATAGGTACAGTGGAGAGAGGAAAGTCAGGTTCAAACACTTAGTTTCAGCCTGTAGATGAGCTGTGGATTATACTGGTGACGATGCTGCCTCGCATATCTACTGCAGGTAGCGGTAAACCTTAAAGCAGTGGTTTCCAGAGTCGGCTACGGCCACGTGTCCATCAGACGTCAGGGCCAGGCCCTGGGGGCCGTACAGAGGGTCAGCTGATGTGTTGATGTAGGACAGGAAGGACCCTGAGCTGTCAAACACCTGGAGAGAAATACAGAAAAACAGGTTTGAATGTGTTTAAGTTACACAAAAAAATTGGTAGTTAAACAATGTAAAACTTAAGCATTTTAATAAACCAGCAATTAAAACATGTTGCCACTTATTATTGACCAAACACAACATCACTCTTAATTACAATTTATTAACAGTTAAAAAATGCAGACAACTAAATAGAAATCAATTTGTGATTGTCACTTCTTACTTGATTCACACACCAAAGTTTATTTTCTTGATGACTTGATAGCAGGGATGTCCGATAATATCTGCTCACCAAATTAGCATATTATGTAATATCTGTAAGGATCGTTATCGTTTTTTTTCTCCCATAATGAAAACCGGATATTGCAATGCCTGGGTTTGGGGGATAAACGTCTGTATATTAAAGTGAAAGTCACTAGATGGCAGCATTGCAGCTCATATAATAAATCTCATACTCACACAGTGGTATGTACAGATAAATAAATAAATAAATAAATAAATACCAGGCCTATATCGGTTGGTTAATATCAAAATCAGAGATTACGTTTTTGGACAATGTCGGCATATCAGATATCAGCAAGTTAATATCGGACATCCCTACTTTATAGTCTTGAGGGAGAGCGCCTCCTGGAGCTCCACTTTGTAACAACTGTCTGACACCAGATGCTGATGTCTCTTTTTCAGTAGCTAACCTGGATCCGGCTGTTCCCCCAGTCTGCAACAATAATGTTTCCATTGGTGTCCACTGCCACGCCCGTCGGGGCGTTGAACTGTCCGTTCCCTTCTCCATGAGAGCCAAATTTAAACAGGAACTCTCCGTCAGCATTGTACACCTGCAGGAATCGAACAGTAAGAATCAAGTGTGTCTTAAATAATAATTAAATACGTTAGACTGAACTTCAAACTTGATCTGTTTCAGAAAACCATCACATCTGTAAGTTGGAGCTTTGTATCAAACTTCGTTGAACATCCCTTGTGTTTTATTTGTATTTTAGGTATTGCACTTTATAAACCTTATTTACAAAAAAACGTTTATATCTTTTTTCTTTTATCATTACCTTTACTGAGTGATTGTGGAAGTCTGTCACCACAATTTCATTTTTGTTGTTCACAGCCACAAAGTGAGGACCTGGAAACAGTAGAGGAAGACAAAAAAGGAAAGATGCGTCATCCCCTGCTTTTCAGTGTTTGAAAGGAAATCCGTGACTATTTTTGGAATGTTGAAAACAAAAACACAATGGTCACAGAGAGAATCTGAGAGGTGACAAGAGAAACGTGAGACACAAAGACTCAGAATGCTGACGTGAGACAAGTACGTAGGACATGACGGAGAGGCTGCATCAACAAGTTCACTAACAAAGATTCTCTCTCTCAGTTCAGACTCACGGTGATGTCATTACTTACTGAAAACAGGGCCAGATTTACTAAGCTTTTGTTCCAGTGCAATGTTTGCACCACTTTTCTCTAAAAGAAAAGAAAAGGTGCAGGTGAGAAAAAATGAAGCTGCGGAAAAATGTAGTCTGTGATTCAAGTAACAAAACCATGCAAACAGTATTTTGTGCAGGGACACAGCCGTTTATTTATTTATTTTTGCATGCAGTATTATGTTGACTGTTGTTTTTAGCAGTTTGAGACTCCCGTCCATGAGTAAGAGCCTAAAATGCTTTCAGCGAAAAAAAAATACAATTCATAAAACATAAAGAAAATCTGTAAATCTGGCCCAATGATTTGTTCTGGAAGCAGCAGCTGTTCAGGTCACATGTTTCTACACCTATAAAGAGGAACGGTCGGTCATTTCTGTGAACATTTTTCTTTAGGTACTATAATACCTGCAAAGTGTCTGTCTGAAGTTCCTCTGGCCCCAAACTTTGTCACCAACTTCCCATTTGATTGGAAGACAAAGACGCAGCAGGCCTTATTGTCCACTGTGATGATATGTCCATTCTTGTCCACAGCCACGCCTTTGGGTCCCATCAGTCTCCCTGCACCAATCTTGCTCTGTAACAGTGTTGTCAAAGCTCTGACATTATAAATCTTTAAATCCTTAAAGTAACTTTTAAAGTTAGAGACGACCTGTACCTTGAACTTTCCATCGGAGGAGAAGATGCTGATCCATCTGTTGTCGTAGTCGGCTACAATGATGTCACCGTTCATGTCCACCGTGACCCCTGTGGGCCGCTGCAGCTGCCCTGGTGAACGACCTCTGACACCGAACCTCATTTTAAATTGGCCATCATTAGAAAACACCTACAGAAACCATCGAGATGAGTGTTGGCCACAACATTTTTTTAAAAAGTAATTAGTTATAGTTACTTCTCCCAAAAAGTAACTGGATTAATTTACTATACAGTAAAATACTTTACTTTTCCTGAACAAATCTCTGAAAATAAAAGTTTCTCAAAAAAGACTAAAAATACACTAATTTGTCTTAAAATACGTCGCTCTGTCCATTTTTGTGGTTAAAACTCAGAAAAAATAATAAACTTTTTTGGTACGCCAACCATTGATGAAAAACAACGTACTATATTAACAAGATTCTGGAAAAGTCAATGCAGCCATTCTTGTTCATTACTGTCTCCATGCTCTTGTATCTCTGCGTTTTCTGTGATTAGCTAACTTTCATTTGCAGCCAGAGAGAGTAAACCACTGACCTGTATGCACTGGTTGTTGCTGTCGGCCACAACAATCCTGCCGTTGCTGGACGTTGAAATGCCTTGTAAGTTCGTGAATTCTCCTTTATCACGTCCTCTTGTTCCTGTCACATTAACAAGACACATGTGTGTGTAATTAAACGAGAATGTTGTTTCGTCTTAAACACATTTAACAAAAATAACAAAACAACTGCGATGGTTGAACTGTTCTAAGATTGAAACACAGCATTGCATTGAAAAGGCCAGAGCTTCAATTTAGATTTTAATGAAGGAAATTTGGTGGAAATGCATTCAGTGGGGGCTGAGTCAGCGTCATAGCAGGAAGGTCTCAAACTGAGCTGAGAGAAATTGAATTTGAACTGATTTTGAGCTGTGGCTTAGACACAGCCGCCTTTATATCCTGTGAGCCCCAAACCTACATGTCTCCCTTCATTAAACCTGTACCTTCCTCATCAACAGCCATGTGATTTACCCACCCACTCTGTAGATCAGCTCGTCCTCTATGGGGTTCTCTTTCTTCTTGGTAGTGCTGTACATGCTGGAAGGCCTTCGCACAGCCTTCTGTCGAACGTGACCACCTCCTCCACTGGGAGACTTGACTCTCCTCTTCACATCTTCTGGTGACTGAAGGACATCAGAGGGTTTGACAGCTCGCAGGCGGAACGGACTCCCCCTCACCGGCTGCTCGTACAGCAGCAGGGAGAAGGTGTACTCTCCCTCTGTGCGGATGGTGTAGCCCACCTCGTACGTGCCGTTCTTGTTGTCGACGACCTCGGCTTCAACACAAGCTCCATCTGCAGACATGATCTCAGCCCTGAGCGCAGCGTTGCCGCTCTTCACCAGTTCTCCATCCTTGTCTTTTGTAGTGACTGTGATAGTGGTGTGTTGGCCGACGAGGGCGTGGCGCAGGCCCTCACCGGTGGCGACACTGGTATGGCCCACGGCCCCGGTGGTAATCAACACGCCCAGGTTCTGGATGGAGCGCCTCAGTCCGTCCGTCTCAACCTGGCATTCCAGGTGTCCATTTTCATGGGGATGTTCAGGAAAACTGTGGCGTGCCAGCGCACTGACCCGCTCGCCCATTTGCTTCTGGACCAGCAGGACCTCAGTAGCACTGCCATGACTCAGGGCCTGCTCTGTGAAGTTGCAGCTGCTCTGAATATTTTCTTTACCCTGAAGCAGAGATGTCAACTGTGCTTGAAGAACCTGAGGATAATCAACCCAAAGGAGACGGACAGTAATAAGTATTTATGTTTTTATTATGTTTTATGTTGATGTATTAAATTAAGATACAGTACAAATCCAACAATTCCACAGTTTATCACATTACTGCTGCTCTAATACACAGCTGACAGACATGATGTTATTCACACACACCAGAGAAAAACCAGAGGTTTTCGTTTCACAGTGACATTGTACACAATGTCCCAGTGTGTTAGCAGTTAGCTGTGATGTTCAGACTATAAACTAATAAACAAAGAGCACTTACCTTCTGTTTATTACTGCAGATGTTTTCCACCTCGGTGATGAGCGCAGTCTTGCGTTGGTGTAAGGCCTTCTCCAGCTCGTCGAACGTGCTGCTGATTTCAGTCACGGCCTCATTTTTGCGCTCTGACAGCTGCTTGGAGATTTCATTGACGTGCCCAATGGCAGCTGTCAGCTGAGGTAGTCTGAAGACAATGAGAACATTTGGCTTCATTTCAGGTCCTTTAAGTACAATAACAAGGTGATGGTAAAAAAAAACACCTAAGAAGGGAGTGTGATTTTCACCTGTTGCGAACAGTGTCCAGCTGATTCTTCAGTGCCAACTTGTGCTGTTCCAGGACATCCCTCAGAGGAACTGTCACATGCTCCCTATGTTCTCCCTCTGTACATTCCAGACACATGGCGGTTTCACATGACTCGCAGTAGAACTCCATCACCTGCAGGTGGTGCAGTGGAGCAAGTAAAACATTGACATTTAAAAAAACAAAACAAAACAAATACCACAAATTTGATCCTTAAACCAAACACTAGGATGTTCCACCATCGTATTATTTAACACTTTTTAATTTTTTTGTCTACCATACCTTTCCTTCGTGATTTGGACATGAGAGTGGCTGACAGCCTGTAGCTGCACTGGCTGACTCCAGAACATTGCAGGCCTCAGGTCTGCTGCACTCTGGGTCTCTCTGCAACACCTCCATTAGGTTTGTGATGAAGAAGTTGTTCTGCAGAGCTGCCACACCTTTCTCTGGCAATATAGATGTCTGTCTGCAGACTGGGCAAGACAGCGTCAAGGACTGTGGGGGTATGTAGTTCTGCAGACATCTGCAGTCAGAAAGAGAAGAGGTTAAAACGAATAAAACGTGGACGTATACACTGGTATTATTATCAAAAGAAGTTTTTCCTTCATCAGAGGTCACCACATATTCTGGCTAGTACCTGCTACCTGCCACATGAATAGCTCTTGGCTTGTCCTTTTATTAATGCGTGCAGCACAGTAGTGACTAGTGGCACTGCTTTTTAGCTAGACTCCCTTTAAGATGCAATCTAATCAGGGATAGAATAGAGAACCATTCTTATTGGCTTATATTGTACATACAGTATATTAAAGTAAAAACTAAAAACTAAAAGAAATAAGAAGAAAATTTAAAAAAAAATTACTTGAATAAAAACTAAAAGAAATAAGAAGAAAATTAAAAAAAAAATTACTTGAATGTAAAAATAAAAATTTCGTGGGATTCCTGGGGCAGAAGCGCCCCCTGAGGTCAGGAGTTCATGACCCGTAATTTAGACTGTCCAGGTAACCTGATCCAGAATCAACATATAGAACTAAACACTCTTCCACCGTGGGGCCCATCTTAAATGAATTAACTACTATTTATTTACTTTTAATTAATTACTGTTATTTATTAATAAATAAAAATGTGCTTTTATATGACATATAATTCATTGTATTATTGCAGGAAAAAGGGTTGTGACACTCCTGGCACAGAGGAACTGACCAAATAATTGAAATGTCTGTAAGTCCAAGCTGTGGAAATGAGTTACTGTTGCCAATAAAGCTGTGCCATTGAGAATGCAGTCTGTTTTGTTGCAGCCAAGTGAAGAATGTTTGATGTCTGACATCATGTGGAAGCCAAAGAGTTGAGAGAATAGAGGGTGTAGCTGGTGTGATGGTAAGTCATAAACTCAGCTCCACTGGACAGCCCTGTTACATACTGTACTTGGTATGGTGTTGTTTGACAGCCGCAGTGTCAGTAAACACCGGCCAAATGACTCCTTCACTTACTTCTCACAGAAGGTGTGCAGGCAGGGCAGAACCTTAGGGTTGTGATAACGATCCAAGCAGATGCTGCAGACCAGGAACTGCTTGTCTATCTGCCTGACCACAGGGCTGCTGGTCTCACGCTTGGCCATGGTGACGGACATTCAAAGGCAGCAGGGAGGGGGGCGCTTAACCTGTGCACAGATGGGAGGAGGGGGAAGAAAGGTCAAGTCGGTGCCAGAGGAAGTTTTCCAAAAGGGAGGACGAGGTGAACTATGAGAGCAAAGAAAAAATGAGTCATGACATTATAAAACCTCTATCTGCTGGCCTTACACGCCTCCCCTTCCTGCGTCTGTTTCCATTAAAGCTGTTTGACTTTTTAAAGTTAATATTTTAACAGTGATCAAACAGAAGGAAGGAAAATGAATATATTTGTTTAATGCCGTCTGGCAGAAAACACGCAGACAACTATGCAGCTGGAGAGACAACAAGTCTGTGTTTACAGTGGTGTCCGGAGTTTACTTAACGTGTACACACAGTGTTGCTAACCACGGCCTTCTGAATACATCATGCTTTATTTGTGGCCATACTTCCATCATTGTTTGCCGCTGGCAACAGCTGTGGTGATATGAAACTGTATCAGTGGGTCAAGCACGGATTATCGGAGCCTGTCATCTCCATGTTGGACATCAGTCCTCCTATTGTAAACACCCAGACAGACTGCTTTAATGTGGTCAATGAACGAGTTCAAAGGACAGCGTCTGCTTCATGCCGTGACATTTGTGTCTTGCAGTCAATTCTGTGGCATAAAATATTTAGTCCATTATTTAATTTTTCTAAAGAATCTTCAATTGAGCGAACAAGATGCACCGTGATTAATGATTGCAGCTGAGATTTAGAACAGATGAAAAATATCATGCTAATTTGAGCATTTTAAATGCACATATACCGGACCAGCCTCCAATCCACTCATAAATCAATGACGTTGCTTAGTCAAGTTCTCTGTTTTTCCTTCCTTGGATCTCTTTTGATAATTACTGAGCTATGCAGAGCAGGAACATCCCACAGGAGCTGTGGTCCAGCCCTCTGACCATCACAACCGTGTCACATAATTCTGCTTTAATTCTAATGTCTAATTCCTGCTTAAATGTTTTTAACACATCACTGTGTAAAACATCCACCTACAGACAAGCACCATGAAAGATGAGACAATGTGTGTTTTTGACAATCACTGTCAGTGGGTGCAGCTGAGACAGGAAACAAACTAACTCTCTACAAGTCACAGTCTTATGACTTTTCCTGATGTCTTTTCCTTTTTCCATCACATTCGCCTGGCTAATCCACCAGAAAGGCCTTCATCTTAGGTTGCAGCCTCCCTGAGCTGTAATGTTGCCCGCGTCCATGTGAAGACTGGACAAATGTAGTGTTGATTTTCTTTGGAAATAAGGAGAGGAAGCAGGAAGCTTCAAACACCACTCCCAAATTTCCTAGTTTCTTCTGAGTTGGCCGAGTTCTGACAGCACCTGTCTATCTGTTTTTCTGTGAGGGGAGATGTGAGAATGAGGAGAAAGAGGAGGAGGAAGAGGAGGAGGAGGAGGGTGACTCCTGGTGAACTGGGCTGTCTGTCTCACATAAGTTAGCCAGGCCTCAGAGGCAGCTGTCCGCCCTCTGCAGCACAGCACAGGACCAAACTCCTAACAATGGCATTCCAGCCTTGCTCACAGTTTACCACTGAACTCCCACATTTTCTCTCCCCCTCTTCCTCCCTCCCTACAGTCCAGAGAGTTGACACAGCTCCCACTGCATCAGCCGTTGAAAACGTAGACACAAACGTCCTGCAGTTCGAATATTTTCTCAGGCAAGAAATCTCTATTGTTGCTGCTTGAGGCTCTGCGGGGGCCTTTAACTGTAATCACACACACACACACACACACGGCCAGCTCCCAACTCCCCCCTCCCCTCCTCTCCCCTTTTACGATCCCTCCCTATCTATGTGATGTCTTCCCTTCACATGACACTGAGCTGCAGCAGCTGAGCTGTGACATCAGGAGGAAGCATCGAGGAGCCACAGCCCTCAGGCTCCTCCCTCCTCGGCCAGCTGCCCGCTGCCATTATGGCTGCAACGGTGCACCCCTCCTCCCCTGTTTCCACCACCCTCGCTTCCCTTACTCCTGCCAGGCCGCTGCCTCAGCAGCCTTCCTCAGCTCAGTTCCTCCCACCCGCCTCACCACAGAAAGAGGATCTTTCTTCTCGGAGCCTGCAGTCGCTGTATGACAGCAGCTGCTGCTAGCTCCCTGTGTGTGTGCATAGGAAACAAACATGAAATGAACCACATGAAATAATGTCATCCATTAAGGAACACGGCCTCAACAATTTCAGTTATCATAGACACACACATGCAGCACATCATGGGTAAGAGTGCAGAGCCTAAAATATCAGGAGTAATCATGATGGTAAAAATAGCACTGACAGCAACAGTAACAGCAGCAGCAGCACAGGACAGGACAGCACCAAAGACACTCAACCTGCAGAACTGACACAGTACCATCTGAGACAGCACATGACGACATATCCTGTTCAAAGCTTGAGTCACAGAAGCTGCATGATCAGCACTTCCCACAGATGAGGACAATTATCCGAGTCAGTGGACAGCAGAGTTTTCTCTCTTTGGATCTGTGGATCTGACACATGGGAGCATGACGCCTGCAGAAAATCAGTATAACAGAAGCATGGACCCAGTCCAGCCCACAGATACACAAATATATCCTGAATCTTGGTTGACTTATCCTTTTGTTATACATAATGCCAACCTTCAATGGTTCCTCTAGTTTTAGTTTGATTTTAATTCTTTGTATTAAATTACAAAAAAAGAGAAAATAATTACAAACATTCCCAATAACAACAGATGCTAATGCGAGCAGCTAGCATTGACGTTACAAAAACATTTAGTATTTAACTCATTCATTAGCTACTCAACATCATCAGGTAATGAGGTGCAGTATTTTCAGGTCATTGAAGTACACATGGTTGTTGATAGCTTTAGCCACTCACTCTAGCTATCCTCACTGTGACCCACACTAAAGTGGCTTATGGTCCACCTTTTGTGTCAGAACGTGTCCACTGGGATTAGTGTGTTTGTGGTGACAGACACCATCACACCCGATCGACTCTAATCTGTGTTACGGTTCACTCTTGAACCTGGCCTCGGACACCAGCGAATACAGTGGCCTGCTTTAGTTCTGTGACCAGACTGTGGGGCGGTATCTGATACTTGGGTGCTGAACACCGTTCACACTTATGAATAGTTTGATTAGATTTCAGAAACCTGAGCTCACATTCAGAGCAAACATTGCTGTTTCCCCTGAATGAGCGGCTTGTTTTTGCAGTCGTATGTTCTTGTTTTTAGACAAATACATCACTTACAAGGGTAGTTGTCCACAGATTAAACAAAGAAATGACTCAGGTTTGCAGGAACATGGCAGTAAGGTGAATGGGTATTAAATTCAGTGTTTTGGCTGATGACCAGTAGAGGAGAGGATGTAACCTGATTAGAGCCATTTTTTTCTACTAGAGAAACAAACTAAAGGTTTTCATCTGCTACTGGATATCGTTCTGTGGTTGGCTAGCTAAAGATCAACAGTTAGCTTCACAAATGACAACAAACAACACAACAAACGTTTGATTCTGTGGTTTGCGTTCCACATAACCTAAAAATATCTCTCTCACTCATCAATTGTCCCACTAATGTTGCATTTCATCACTTAGTACCTCACATCGATTTTTTTCGTAGCAGTCAGAGCTGGAATTGTTATATTGATTATTGTAGTGCATTAAATGTCATGACGTCATAATCTGATCTGTAATGATTCAGACGGAGAATGGTTGGACCTCACTGCTCATACATGTAGGTGACTATTAGCTTCTGTTTGTATATATGTTTCAGTATATGATTAGTAAGTATTTATGGTACTTCACTGGTGCATTAGTATTAGAAGCTGTAAATATATATAATAAAAAAATATGTGTGCATGGAACCATCCATCTTATAGATATTCTGATGATTTCTGGTTGTAAATGAACACAACATTGTTGATACAGATATGAAATCTAAGGGCAGAGATGAATATGTGGGTGTGTGTCTGCTGAGACAATACAGAAAAGAAAGATTAGGAAGTCAGGGGACACAGTTGTCATTATTTTCTTATCAATAAAATATATTTTTCTACATTGATAAAATGGTCAAGTCTAATCGAAACTGCTTCAAATGTCAAGCTTTAACTATTTCTTAATATAAAATATTCATAAATGATTCTGAGTAATGCTTTTTTCACATGGCAGTAGAAGAATGTACAAATGAGGGACTTGTGAGCAAACAACAATATCAGATTACATCTATGTCAGACACAAGTCGAGCATGACTGATAGTATTTTCCCATGTATATTAGCTGTCATTATCAAAAAAGCCATCAGTTGTTCTGTACAACAACATTGATGTAGTGTTGAAACCTAAAAATAATTGAGAGAATCTTATCTCCAAGTGTTTGTTTATGTGAGTCTGGGGTTGGTAACTAGGGCTAGCTTAGGTGCTGGATCTTTGATGACTCAACAACTGCAGGACGCACGACACAGAAACCTCACACTAACAAGCTTCCCTCACACCTCACTGAATCAAATGAAAGAATGTGTCTCAATGCATCAGTCTCAGTCAGGGGAGGGGGCTTCACATAGAGAAAAGACAACAGTGTAAACAGTGTGCTGCTGCTGCTGCTGTTGGTTTTACATTGGAACACAAAAGCCAAGCAAATGTGTATATTATTTCTATGTCTATATTTAAATGTATTCTTGAGCGCAAAAGAAAATAAAACAAACAGGTATATGAATAAATATAGAATGGTTTTAATGTATTTTTCAGAGGGACATGTTCCTATGTGGTAAAACATTAGCATTTGTTTTCCCTAAAAGACCACAGACTGGGCCACTCTCACAGTGTGTCTGGGCTGCATGGATCCCTCAGACCACCATTCAAATAGGGTCCCCTCTACTGAACAGCATATTAGCATGTTAGCATTTTAGCATGGTGGTTTCCTGTTCTCTAATTTATACCCTTCAAAATAGAGGCACGTAGGAAATAAGGATATGGACTAGGTCAAGGGTGAACACAACAGAAACTCAGACGTAATGCAAGAGATACTGCTTAAATTCCACAGGGAGAAGAAGAATAAATGTGGATGTCTAAGATTATATTGTGACACAGTATTTAAAGGAGTGAGATAGTGTGTCTCCGATAGAACTGTTGCGAATTTTCCTACAACTGAAACCCACGCTTCCATCTGCATGTCGATCGTTGTCTGCTTCAGCAGTGTGCTAACATACAAGCTAGCAACAGGAATAAGCACTTATGTTAGTATTATGCAGATGTGGGGATATTAATGGTGCTCACACAACACAACATGGTAAGCCGGTGTATTCAGGATACACCTGTTTGTATATATAGAGGTGTTTTTTTTTTATTATAAAGGGATAACTAACCAGCACACAAGCACAGGCTGTTGCCTGTGACCCAAGTCCACCTGCAGCAGGCGCCATAAAGAGAATATGGTGTGACTGTCTATGATGCTGCACATTATGTGTCCTCTAGAGGCCGGGCAGTGCAGATTATCTAATACTGTTTCGTCTAGCAGTGTGCATCATGGAAAGTCAGGACTGTTGGAAAAGAAAAAGTAAAATGTTTATACGTAGATGAATGTATTTTTCACAACACAGTTAAATTGAATAAATAACTGAACTGGACTAAGATACCAATGACTTCCATATGCCATTGGTTGAAGCGAATATTGTCATATTTTGTATTTTTAAAAAAAAACAGATTTGATTTACAGCTTAGGTCTTAGAGTCACAGTCTGTTTGAGAGATTAATCTTCAACTCTTCAATATTGCATGTGTCAATCCTAAAGTTCTGTAGCCTGGGGCTAACTGCTATACCATTGACATCAACACTGCACTCCCGCCAAAGGTTGGAGATGAGCTTTTCTGAAAATATTAACATACACTTAGCTCTGAGAAATATATACATTTTCCTACAGCCTCTTGAGTCCTATCTTTAATGTATCATTTTCACTCCATTGTGTCGGATGAGACTGATTTCTTCCACTAAAGGAAAGAAAGTCTTACTGTATAGCAGCTTTGATTAAAGGGGTTTAAAATGTGATTCAAGTGAAACCTTCTCCAGAGACTGAGGATGAGAGAGTCCAGTGATTATCTTTAATCAGTGATGACGTGAGAACATCAACACATAGACCACAGTCAGCAGAATGGAACCAGGGCTCATCAAAACTACTGTAGAAGTGGACATCAAATAAAAAACTTAGAGATAGATATATACATATATTATAATGAAAAAAAAACAACAACATTATTTTCTGTTGGAAATAGCATAGAGATGGCAATGACTAGTCAGTTAAAAACCATTAGTTTCACGTGTATTTCTACCATTATATGTTTAGATATATATGTTATTCACTAGTGATGCTTTTTTCCCTTTTGTGTGGCTAACTCAGGGCTAACATTCTCAAAGCATCAACACACAACTGCTGAATGGCCTTAAGATCGTCACCCTGGATAATCTGAAATCCCTTCCTTCACCCTGTATGGATTACTACACAGATAAGAGCAGCTTCACTGATTTCCAGCTCATCTTTGAACATCTGACCAGCTTAAATCACGCAACAGTGAACCGTCTTCTAGAACAGAGGGGCAATCAATAGAGAAGCACTGATTATTCTTGGCAGACTGTAGGCCAGATGTGTGTGGAAATGATGCATCAATCTGCCACTTCTGTTGCTGCAATGCAATGCCAGGCACGGAGTGACATAAGCAAACATCATGCTAATTCACATGTGCCTCAGACGGCTTCAAACTGCGAGGGTTATATGGAAGAGACCAATTAAAGAAGAGACAAGGCCAACGAAGGCTCACTACTAATCCTCTCAACAAAAGAACATGTATGCTTGATTACAGAGCCCAGCCCTCAGACTGCAGCAGAGATGCCCACCTGCTAAAGACAGACAAGCGGGGCAGCTAGATGGAGAAGTGTGTGGGTTGGATGAGGAAGCAATAAATCAGATCTGACCAGCGAAGTGATTTAATCCAGGATCTGGCGTTGGAAAAGACTGGAAAATGCTTTTATTCATGTGGTCCCGGTCTGTTGCATCATAAAACTGGAGCAGCTAATGTCTCATCAGAGAGGAGACCACGATTCCTGAACACAGCCCCTCTGGGGTTTATCAATGCACAGATGCTGTTTGGGGTGGGATGGAGAAATCAATAATTCAAGTGCTCCCATCTCAGCCCTCAGATGACTGAGGATTCCTGATTTTGGCCTATACAGAGTGACACAGGCAGAGACACGGTTCTACACAAGGAAAAACAGAAGTGAATGCTCCGGTTGTACTCACATGAATTCCCAGCAGGACGGAGTGTGGAGGGTCAGGATTGCAGGCTGTGGACGAGTCCTCCCATTGTCAGTGTCTCAGTCTTTTACAGCAGAGTGCACACAGACTAGGCGACAGAAAGGAAAGGGCAGGGTCTGTCTGGGAGGAGAAGAGCATAGTAAGGAAGAGGAGAAGGGAAAGGAGGAGATTAGGGGATGGGCCAACAGCAGTATTCGTCCGACGGCTGGTAGGAGGAGCTGAGGAAGCCAATAAGCATATGGAGGGGGCAGGCCATACGCAAAAGAGATGAAATCTCAGGAACCTACTGAGGAGCACGGCCTGTCTGCTGCAAAGGGGTTTGGCTTCTGGAGGCACAACCCAGTTGGCCCTAAAAGGACAAAGGATGTGGTTTATTGTCAGGAAGATTTTTAAATATTAAGGTGCAAATAAACATTGGAGTGTAAAGTGAAAAGGGAAACACTGGGCCATGAACGATCCGTATCTGCTGAAGGAGGATTTGCATTGTGTAACTGTGAAGTGGGGATTCACAGACTGCTATGTAAAGTGTCTGACAACAGGGAAATGAGCAGGGAACAGTATGAGAATTGACTGTCTCTATGTGGTGAGAGTCTGTGACTGACTGATTACAGATTTCCCTGAAACTTTAAAAAAAATGAAGCTGTACAAAATAAATAGACGTGTTTAGAATTAGACCTGCAGGGTTCTTAAGATTAAAGCCCACTAATAAAACATTCAGGGATCCTTGTATTTAACTGTAAACCTGTAGCCAGGTCTGGTCTAAGACTCCATTACAGTAAAACCCTTTTATTGTTATAGTAACATGCTAACTGTGAGCTGATCCTGCCCCTCCCCCAATACTCACTGGTATGATTCTCATGGCTTGTTCTCCTAGAACTGAACAGGACAAATGTGTAGCACCTCACTGCTATGACTTGCTGACTCAAGTGGCTCTTTAGAGAATTTATTTACGTAAATACATGTATACATAGAATACTGCTTTCTTTGTTTGATAAGGTTAAGAAAAATCTTTGTAAAAAAAAAAAAACCCTAAATGTATTCATGCATCATTTAGCACTGGTTGCTCAATTGATTGATTTAAGTAATGTAATGCATTTTAATGTGGGTGCAGTGAGTGAGTCCACGCCTCTGGAGCAGACAGAGACTGTTGGGGGGAGATTACCTGGCACACACAGTCTTCTCCGGCCTTCATTCTCCAACACAGTGTTGCCATGGAGACTGCTTCACAAGGCTGAGGAACAGTCAAGATGGCTGCCGCTGCTGCTGCTGCTGCTGGTGTCTGGCAGAGTATCAGCAGCTGTTGTGAGGTAGCACAGCAAACACAGCTGGTAACACTGACAACTAAAATATTAAATCACAGGTGTCATAGGAATAATTACCCCCTGGCTAATGAAATAATTATTTTATAGCATGGATATTAGTCAATAGTACATAGTGACATGATGAGAGGGAGGATATTCTTGAACATAGATGAGAGAAAATAAAATCCATAATTATATTATTCATGTCAAGAAAAAGATTCACCAGTAAAATACAGATATTTATACAACAGCCATTATTTTATAGAAAATGCCATTTTAATCCATTTGAAATGTGATGTTGGAACAGTTTGGGACTGAAAAGTCGTACAGAGAACCTGGTTTCTGTGGAACTTTTTCTGTGACTGCTAGTTTGTCCAGTCCTATATCAGGATCACATCAAAAGCATCACCTTTTTTCTGTGGAACAGTCAGAAAGTTAGCAAGAGGCGTTTACATGACAAAATCATAAACAAACAATTATATAATAAATAATATTAATACAAAAATGTATAATTGTTGTGATTTAATTGAAAGACACATTTCCTATCACCACTAGAATAGAATAAATATATTAGCAAACAACATTTTTGGATAGCCACACATTCTATTTATGTGGTTTATTTTATTGTATTTATGTTTGTTTTGTAAATTGGATATAGATACATGCTGTCAGTGAGCAGTGACGGTGTAATGGTGTTTTAACACCTAACAATACTAAATATAATACTTGTAAACATTGTATTTAATAAATATACGAAGCATTTAGATCATCTCAGCTGCAAAAACATTATTTTTGAACTTCAGTCAGATTTGTTGACATCCTTGCTCTTGAAGGTTAATCATCATCATCATCATGTATCCTGTAGAGGTGAATACAGACAGAATGCTGTTTTAAACAAACATGGATATTTTGACTCTGCATAAAACTGCCCACGGTTTAAACACGCTCCACCTCAGCACCACTCACTAGGTTAGAGCTGGAACGATGGCTGAACTGACAAAGACCCTGAAAGTATGCACGCCTGCTCCCTCTGCATTGTTGATGTACAAGTGTACAAACAACGGCAAGAGGAGACAAAACCAAACAAAGAAAAGAAGAGAAACAGAGTTTAAAACATTTAGTCGAGCTTCAACAATGTTATATTTACAAATGTCCAAAATAACAAAACAAAAATGTTATTTTGATCGCTCTCCTGTAAAATGTGAAATGTCAACGTCAATATAAAATATAAAAACATGTTAATCTCTACATAGCAAAATAATGGGCCACAAAACTTTTTTTCCCACTTATTTACATGTGCACGCACACACCATAAATGATTCTCAAATGTAATTGAAAATATCGTTAATGCCTACGCCAGTTTTCTGTTTCGTACCGCCATCTAGTGGTTCAACATACCCTAACCTTTTCTGAGCAGAAGGTGGCCAAAGGTTTCTTCAAACCTCGGTTTCTCTTTCTTCAACCCTTTGTTGTACACGTCATCACGACCATGAGGAAAGTGCAAAGCCCACATGCACAGTTTTGTGTGCAGTCAAGGACAGAAATATTTTTTTAAAGCAGATAATGTTTTCTGACATTGATCAAAACCTGAGAAGGAAGGGAATTTACTGGGGAATTGAATACGATTTTGTGGGTTTTTTAATAGTTATTTGGAGTTTTGAACGGAGCATTTTGTTATGCAAGTGCACAGTAAAGATTAAAATAAAATGTACATACTGGATTCACTACATATTTGTGGTAGAATTGGAGTACTGCTACTTATTACTATTGATTTTTTTAAATACATTTTTCCATATGAATAATAATTTATTCATTTTGATTAGTCATAAATGCACACAGGTGAAACACATATTTCTACCTGCTGTGTTTTGTCTTTCTGTTCCAGCAATAAACAAATTAAATAAAATGAATCTGGATTTTTACTCTGAGCATTTGTCATAAAATATTCCCAGTACTGAAGGAGAATATACAGTGGTGTCTTATATTACCATTTGTTATTCTGTCAACCCTCTGATGGTAACAGCTTACACATCAGAACCTTTGTGTTTTTGAAGACCGTCTTTACTACTCTGAGACTTGCCAATGTCACCAAGACGTTTGATGAAGCTGAAAAAAAATCCAGTTGTTTCCGTTTTATTCCATGTATTCCTGGGGGCAGTAGTTTCACTACTCTTATGATGGGGGTTTCCTGGAGTTTCCACTGACTTGTTCCTCTTCTTCTCTGCTGATGGAGAAACATGATTTTCATCAGCAGATGGTTGAATGTTGTGAGACGCTTCAGAAAAAACAAACACTTGTTTTGAAGTTTTGTCCTCGTCCCCCTCTGCTGGTGCTGCTCCCTTTTCTTTTGCAACAGAATTAGGAGTTCTAATGGGAGCAGGATCCCAGAGGTCGTCTTCTTCTTCCTCAGTTTTGTAGACTTTAGAGGGCATGGTATGGCGACGGCTGAGGTTATGTTTGGAGTTGGGGGAAGGATCGATCAGAAATCGCAGCAGGTCTTTATTGGTCTGGTCTTCAGGGTACCTGTCTATTTCTTCATCAAAGGTGCGCTGGCGAGACAGAAGGGTTCTCCCACCAGGAGATTTCTGGTTTTCCAGAGAATATTCCCCAGATGAGACACTGCCACGGCTGTTCTGAAAGCGCAAGACCTTTTTTGATGCTTCACGCAACTTTTCAGCCTCCTCCTTTGTGTTGTCTTGAAAATCCTCCTTGTCATCCTCATTTGTGACTGAGACATGTCTACTTGGGGAAGAGGTTTTGTTCGGGCGTTTAAATCCTGTGGATTCCTCAGTGTTTGTCTCTTCTATCTCTTCTTGCCCACAGGCATCGTCTGCCCTTACTTTCTCGACCTCATCCGTAGAGTCCATTTTATTTTCGGAGGATTTGTGAGTAAGCTCCGCTGCTGAGTTCCAGTCTTTTCTGCTGATGTTCTTTTCTTTAAATGAGTCACTGACCTTGGTGTTTTCAGTGGGGAGGTTCAAGTGTGAGGTAATTTCAGATAAGCTGCCACCGGCAGGACTTCCTTGAGTGGACAAAGGTCTCCCAGATCTCCTGCGAGACGTCCGATTGGTCAGAAAGTTTTGAAGTATAGTCTCTAATGCAGCACCTTCCACTTCCTTACTGGAGCAGGTGGCTATGGACCTGCGTTTGACAGCCTTCTGTAATCTCTCTCTGTGTCGGCGCTTCACATCTGCCACCTCTCGAGACTTGTTTTCCTATAGAAAAAATACACAAGTACTGCATTTAGCCAGATTAGAGTGATTTACAGCAGTAGTCAGAAAAGTCTATACAGTACCATTAAAATGTTTTCAATTGCCAAAAGTTTACTTAGGTAGTTAATATTTCAGACTTTCCCATCTGTAAGGAGACATGTACATTTCCATAAAAAAAGTAACATTTTAAATAGTTCATATTATTATTAAAGCCTTATCTATGTCATTAGGAACTTGAAGTAAGCCTGTGTGTCTATATTTAAAATAACGCATATCATATACACAAGTTTATACAAATTTAAAAAAAGTTCTGATTGCTGTTTGAATTTTTGAGAATACTAGAATTTTAATTTCCAAAAAAAATTCAAAAAATTCAATTAACAACATTTTTTAGAATCAACAAATGAGTGGCACTAGATGAAGGGGAGTTAATTTACAACATGCCATACACTACATACTAGTGATAACGCCATATTGAGAATAAAAACATTAATAATATCACAAGATTAAAGTTGTAAATTTATGAGAATTAAGTCAAAACACTATGAGGGGAAAAGTTGTAATTTTTCAAGAAAAAACAGGAATTTACTCATTTTCTCCCGTTACTGAGTGCTCACTGTACCTGCACGGCCCGAAGAAATCTTTGACAAAAGGAACTGAAGATGGAACAACATTCCTCCAGTTTGAACTTGTTAGGGTCTTCGCAAAAGTACTCGGCTACAGAGTCACTCACAGACTGCAGTTCCTGGAAGTCAGTCTTCATTTCTTCTAAGCAGAGCTCGGCTTCCTGGATGGCACACAGACAGTAAACATGTCAGACTGTACTGGGGTTAAAGAAAACTGGACACAAAAACGTGGACTTACATTGAGAAAGCCGTCCATCTGTGCCTTCAGGTCCTCCTGCTGTAAGGTGTCCACCTTGGCATCTTCCACCTTTTTGACCTGCTTTTGAAACTCTGCTTCAATGTCACCTTTGTTTATTCTGGAACAAACAAAAAGGAATCACATAAAATCATGACTAATAAAAATATTAACAAGAAAAAAATGATTACACTGATTATTGAGTATTATCACCTGGCAGCAGCTTCAATGTTTTTGAGTTGATCTGGAAATTTAAGGAGCTCCATGTCTGCCTTCTCAGCTTGCTGTGTATGAAAATTGTATGTAAAAAATATAAATAATAATAATAATGATGTATAATTATAAACATTTGCTTGTACATTTTTTTTATTTTAGCTCTAAAAGATTGATACTTACAATCACTACATAATGCATAAGGTTCATTCCAGGTTTGTTTGCTTTGGTGTCTGCTAACTTCAACAGAGAAGCCATTCTGAAGCCAATGGCAGTACCAGCATAGCTGCCCTGAAATAATAATAATAAAAAAAGAAAGAATTAAAGCATTCTTGCACATGATAAAAGAAATCTACTATGTAAATATCTGCTGTGACAAAATGTACAATGAACTCACTGCATTCATGTAATTTCCAGTTTTCAACACCAGACGGATGACAGAATGCAGATGCTCAGACTCCAGGAGCTCTAACAGAAGAAACACATGTTTAATTCTAAGGCCAAGATCTACTTTTAGCTCAAACTAATACATTTGAAATCCACGAAAACACAAAAATACCCTTTCCAGCAGCAGTCAAAGTACCAATGAATGATTTAATTTCATCCATGAGGGAGAAAAATTCATCTTTCAGAACCAAACTTCTGAGCCGTACCTCGTAGCTGGAACACAAATGGATTCCATCACCTTCATATCCTCTCCACCATGAAACACACTTTTTATAAAACTCAGAATTGCATAAAAGGTTTCTCACCAGGGAATCTTGACAAGCATGAACATGAAGAGATCTGCTTCAGGGAGGGCAAAGTGGTCTCCCTTAAAATTGACCAGCTGCTTCACCTGTATTTGATTTTAAAAATGTTTTAATCTTCTTTATTAGCCACAAAAAGTATTTAAAGGCCAGATAGAAATACAGAAAACAGGTATACATTACCAGAAGGTACATGCATTTGTACCAGTATAGAACAAAAATATTAAATGTTTCAGTCAGTGTTGCTAACGGGCCAGATAGTAAAAGAGAGACGGTCAAGTTAAAAAATGAACCGCCAGAGGGAGGCAAAGAAGCGTTTTTATAAACATGGTTTCAGGGATAACAACAACATCGACAAACACGGATAGTCTTACTATCTATACGTCGTGTTTAAAAATATATCGACACATCGTCCAGCTCTGGAAGGCGCTTTAAGTGAAATTAAATATAATTTGATTTAAGCCAGTGTATGGTTCATAAAATGTCCTAGATAAAAAATCAAATGTAAAAAATAAAAACACGTCTTTGTGTAGTGACCTATTGCGAGACTATTTGTTAAACAGTAAAAACTGTAAAGCAGACAGCCCAGCTGATAAATATAATAGAATATAAATATAAATATAAATACCTCAACTTCATCTGGTAGCATCTTGCACAGCTCTCTCAGTTTTCCCGAACCAAAACACAGGTTATTTCCTGATTTGATTTCTTCAATCATGTCTTCTACAGGCCTGTGGTCAGAGGTGCAGAAACATATAAATATGTTAGATTTGTTTTTTTGTTTTTTTTTTCAGTCAAATGTGAACATTTTTCTAAATGTTGGTTCATATCAGGAGTAGTGTTGTCTTGTTAATACCACACTTGCATTGCTGGAAATATTTGAGCTGCTAGAAGCAACAAGCCTCTGCGTGCTAAAATATCTGGGTTGAAATTGCAACATTACCTCACTACAGTTGATGTTAGCCCGCACAAACAATAAACAGGATACACCTTTGTCAAAATATCTCCGTGTGACAGTGATAAAAACTCTTACTGTTGAACAAGCCATGTTGGTTGATCTGTTACTGCTAGTACTTAAATAGTTAAGTGCCTCTCATCAGCAGTACTGCAGGTATTTTTCCATTTCCTAGAAGATTTGCTCCATGAGCAAAACCACCTAAGGCCAAATTTTCCAAAACCTTAAAGAAAATAATCCACAGGTTTCACAAGGGTGGTAACCTGCTGCATCTGTAGAACACTGTAGTGTGCATCAGACCTGCCAGGACACGTCGGCAAGGAAAGGTGTGTGTGTGTGTATGTGTGTGTGTGTGAGCAAGAAGCAGCCATGTCCCACCTCAACCTACTGTATGTGCCTGATCCTATTGTGTTCTACATCGAAAACGATAAAAGATGAACGAATCTTAACTCACTTTTTGAATTGTTTCAAGAAAATTCCCATGTTCATGCTCCTCTTGGAGCTCAGGATAGAAACCTAGAATAGAACAAGAGACACAGATGAGGATTTCACCAGTTTTTCAGTCACTGAGATAAAATAACTACCGTTAATGCGTCACTGAGGGGTTAGCTTTTCAAACAGACAGGGTTAGCTTTAGCACTGGGGGGTTAGCTTTGCAAACAGACAGGGTTAGCTTTAGCACTGGGGGGTTAGCTTTCCAAACAGACAGGGTTAGCTTTAGCACTGGGGGGTTAGCTTTGCAAAGGTGTGAGGGTGAATAAATAACTGAGGGGTTAGCTTTCTAAACAGACCGTTGTATCATACTGAGATCTGTGGGAAAAGATTTGACTTGACTAATGTTTCCTGATTTAGGCCAATGTAACTGTTGTTTTGACAAATTTTTTCTAGGTTAATTTTTATAACTGCTTAACCTTGAAATTACTATATGGATAAAACAAGTTTATTAATGGTTGTGACATTTATTTCTCTACATATCAACAAGTATAACAAGTATAAGAGAATCAATATATACTTCAAAATTCAGTATTTTTTTTATTTGTGAGGGTGAATAAAATTCAGGCTGGCACCCAGGACCTTCTGCATGTAAGGCAGGCGTCATAACCACTACACTACAGAACCACAGACACCCAACGTGGGTGCTGGGAACACTGCATCTCACATACCTCCACTCCATTCTCACAAACTAACAACTAATAAATGCAGTCAAATGTTAGTGTTACACAACACATTCTAAAGTTGTCACTGTGTTGCACCGGAAACGAATTTGGAATCAGACAGAGGAAAATCCAACAGTTCCTGTACTCACTACTTCTCCGGAGGCAGCAGATGGTGTTTGCTGGTGATTCTGGGCCCTGAGTTTTTGCTGCTGCTGCTTCTGACTGAACAGCTCCTCTATGTGGTCGGTGTCCAGCTCATATTCCCCATCAATCTTATCAGATGTCCATATGTTGTGCCTTCCTATCACACTGTGTTTAGGGAGGGTCTCCCAGTTGAAATTGCGTATCTTGGAGCGCCGGTGTTCCCTCTTGAGAATCAATATATGGCCATGAAGGGGTGGAGGTGGAGGTGGAGGTGGTGGAGGAGGTGGTGGTGGAGGTGGTGGTACAGAGGGTGGAGGGGAAGGATCTTCTACCTGCATTGTTTGGTTTATTGACTCTCAGAAAGTTCTGGACGCTGCCATGGTTCAAAGCCCAGAGTGAATGTTCAGTCAGCTGTAGTCTCTGTGGAGAAAGGCTCTTTATGGCAGAAGGGTGCAGGTGCTGTACAGCAGTGACAGACAAAAACAGTATCAGTTAAACAGCACGGAGACACCATGCACTAAGAGATGTGCACATAAACATAGATAAAATATATTTTTAAAAATTGTTATTGTCTAATAAAAAAACTGAAAACTGATTAAAAATGTAGTTTGTGAAAAAAAAGTAGATTAAAAATGTAGTTTGTGAAAAAAAAAGTAACAAAGACTACTTTCTTTTTCTATTACTAGCACACTGTGTGTGTATCACACTGTGTGTGTATCACACTGAGTGTGTATAACACT